CTTGCCCCGTCTCCTATACTTTTTTTTTTTTGAGTTAGAGCCTCACTCCGCTGCCCAGTCTGGAGTGCAGTGACACACTTATGGCCACCCCAGCGTCGATCTGCAGGACTCCAGCGGTCTTCTGCCTCAGCTTTCCAGGTTGCTGGAACTACAGGCGCGTGCTAACACATCTGGCTAATTCTTTTTTTTATTTATTGCAGAGATGAGGTCTTACCAAGTTGACCAGGCTGGTCTCGAACCCTTGGGCTCAAGCAAGCCTCTCATTTCGGCCTCCCAAAGTGCTGGGACTACAGGTTTGCACTACTGCACCTGGCCTGATCACGTTTTTTTTTTTTGGAGTTAGAATCTCACTCCATCGCCCAGGCTGGAGTGCAGTGGCACCCTCATGGCCGCCCCAGCTTTGACCTCCTGGGCTCCGGTGATCCTTCTACCTCAGCCTTCTAAGTAGCCAGAACTACAGGTGCGCGCTACCATGCCTGGCTAATCTAGTTGTTGTAGAGACGAGATCACACCAAGTTGCTCAGGTTGATCTTGAACCCATGGGCTTAGGCAATCCACTCTCCTCAGCCTCCCAAAATGCTGAGATTACAGGCTGAGCCACTGAGTCCAGCCCTGATTACACTTCTTAAACTTAATTTTTAATTAGAAATAAGTATACTTTGGTTAGCCAAAGTGTAAATCAAACTTAATTCATAGTTTTCAAAAAATGCTCAGACTCTTAAAAACACAAAACATTCACTTAATTTTTTCTGATACTAAAAATGATATCAAATTGGAGGTAGAACTCAACTGTTTTCTACAGTATCAGATTAACCAGGAATATTCATTTTTCAGCTATCATCTCTGTCTTCACAACTTAATCAAACATTTTATTTGCTAGCAATCTCTATATTAAAATTCCAACTAGACTGCAACTGGCAAAACCCTAAATAGTAAATTTACGTTAAAGGCTTTCTTAGCTAACACAAAAATAACTTTTCAGGTATTTATCTAAAGGGTTAGGCATAAACATATATGTTTAAAATTACAGTGTGCCTTGAAAATATAACACCTTTAAAATATTTCAAGAATTCATTTACTTTATAAATCTGCAAAGGATATAAGGGCTAGTAAATTCTATCTAAATGGGCACTGTATGAATACATAAAATAAACCTTGAAGGTAAAGTAATTTACTTTCCATCAAATCTTTAGTAAGGTTGCTTTACAGATAGCAAAACTGACTAATTTTCTCTTTGTCTTTTCAAGCAGGGAAATGACTAAATGTCTGAGAACAAAAGAGGTATAAAAAAAATCTACAAACTAAGAACATTCAGTTCTTTGATATTTAAGAACTGAATATCTAAAAATTGCAGTAATTAATGTTACTTTTGTATTTGTGAATAGATGCATAAACAACATTAGACTTAAATTGTATAAGTATTAGAAAAGTCTCATTGATTCAGTCCTGCAGATGTTAGTATTGTAAAGTTTTTACTTCAGTAAACAAAATATTCCTTAAAATAGAAAAACATTTTAATATATGAATCGATCGTATTGCATATCAAATAGCAATATCTTAAATTATTTATAAATAACTACTTTATAGACCATGTTTACAGAAACATTTAATGATGATATTTAGATTACAGTAGAATATAAATTTGATGACAGAATGGACTTAAGTGTAGAACACGCCTAGAACATCTGCTGGCACAAAGTAGATGATGATCATGTTTTGTAAGTAAGTGCATTTGTCTTGGGTAACTTCTGGGTAGCTGACAGCTGTTGGGAAGGGGAGTTTTGTAAGAAAACTGCTTTGACTGCAAAGTTTTGAGAAGTAATTTTGAATGTTTGCTATCTAGTCTCAACAAGTTGATGGTTTACAAAGTTTTTCAGTTTCATCAGGTAAATTCCTAATCTTTCAGACTTAGCTTTACTACACGTATTAACTCTGTGTGATCTTTCAATTGATCCTATTTTTAGTCTTCTTGAGTTCTGTTAGAAGACCACCTTGCTTAGAAAGCAATTCCTCTTGAGGTTAGCTACACCACTGACAATAAAGAATCCAAAACATGGCACATGCAAAAAAGAAAAGAAAAAAAAATCACGGTTACTATAGCCTCACTGTTAATAACTCTGATGGTTCATTTAAATACTCTTCATATCGCCAGAATTTATTGGAGTAAAGCCAACAAGTCATGAGATGCAGATGACTGATTCTTCCTACTACTGCTGAATCTCTCCCCAAATCCCTTCTATGCTGATACTAAAGTATTCAGTTTCATGGAAAATAAATATCATCTTTTCATTCTTCTATTTTTTCCTGAGAAATAAGTATCAATATGAAAGTGGACTTATAAGATATTTAAAGCACAGGAATCTTTCAGGGCAATTAGTATAGTCTTACCAAAATTGAAACTGAGAAATACAGAACAAGCACATGTCCAAAATTAAGTAAGAATTTGAAACTTCAGTATGTGTCCTATTTTCCCCCCAAATGACCTGTAACGTTCTGAATAAGGTATGTCCAACCTGTGGCCCATGGGCCACATCACAGGACAGCTAAATATGTGGCTCCACAAAATCTTTTTAAATTAAATTTTATTTTATTATAGAGATGTGGGGTACAAATAAGGATTAACTACACAAGTAGACTGCATGCAGGTGAAGTTTGGGCCTTCAATTGTCCCTCACACCCCCGGTAAAGGAGCAGGTGCCCTTTGTGCTGTCACGTACCCCCCTACCCCCGCACCCAGCAGAGCCCCAAAACTGCCAATGCCTCCCTTGTACTAATGTAGTTGATGTTTAGATCCCACTTATGAGTGAGAACATGCAGTTCCATTCTTTGTTTCTGTGATGGTATGATGTTCTCCAACTCCATCCAATTTGCAGCGAAGTCCATGATTTTATTCTTCTTTATGTCTACATAATACTCTACCATGTATATGTATGACATTTTCTTTATCCAGTCCACTTTTTTTGGGCAGTAGGGTTGATTCCATGTTTTTGCCATCATGAATAGTGCTGAAATCAACATGCGTGTGCAGGTGCCTTTTTGGTAAAGCAATTTACATTCCTCTGGGTATATTCCCAGAAGAGGGACTGCTGAACCATACAGAAGGTCAATTTTTCGTTCTTTTAGGAATTGCCACACTGCTTTCCATAGAGGTTGAACTAGCTTGCACTCCCACCAACAGTGTAGATGTGTTCCCTTTTCTCTGCACCGGTGCCAGCATCTGTTGTTTTTTGACTTGATTTATTAATGATGGCCATCCTTGCTGGAGTCAGGTGGCCCACACAGCATATTAACATCATGTGTTTTTTAGCGTTTAATATTCTTTGTGACCCCAGGTGTAGTTCCATTTTTGAAGCTCACAATCATGCCTTATTCATGACATTGCTTTTTGGCAGCACATACGTTTGTGAGAAGTTGTTTTCAATGATGAAAGCACATGAAGAGCAAAATTGGAACAAACATTTCCGACAAGCACCTCAAGAACTCACTAAGAATTGTGATCACTTCCATCAAACTAGATATCGATAGATTAGTTTTACAAAAACAAGGACAGTTTTTCAATAGTTTTATATTGTTCTCATTTTCCTAAACTTTATAAAAATAAAAGAATAAAGTAAGTCTTATGTATATAAACTATATTATATGACCAGTTTATGACTAGCCCAAGACAATTCCTCTTCACTTAATGTGACCAAAGGAAGCCAAAAGTTGACACCCCTATTCCCCGAATGAAAACATTTACAAACTTTTGCATAACAATGTTTACACCCGCACCCACAAAAAACAAATACCAAAGGGCACTGGACTTGGCAGTCATGTGAATGCTCGTTTTGTGATTACTTGCCTCCATGGTGACACAAATGCCTAATCTGTTCACACTCAGATTTGGGTGATTTCAGTATTAACTCTAGTCTCTTTTAGAACATTTGCCGTCGTGTTTGACTTTGAAAAAAAGCAAATATAACGCCTGTGAGGTCAAACATTTCCCTTAGATTGCAGGTCCTTTACACTTTCCCTCTGATTTCCACAGTTTTTATTTACACAGCTAGCAATGCTTTTGCAATTAGAAAATAAAATTTTACATTAAGAAAGCATAAAAACAACCTCCTTCAGATGCTGCTATTCATATTATGGGTATCAGAATAGCTTTCTGCTCAACCAACTTGAATGATGTAACTTAAATGAAAAAGAACTGCTATGATGAGTGAAAGTTAGTTCTTGAGATAGTCCAGAACGGTCTCTCTCTCTCTCTCTCTCTCTCACACACACACACACACACACACACACACACACACACACACACCCCTTCATTTTGAAGGAATCAGTTAGGGAATCATCTGGAACGGTCACAATTAATGGATATACACGTGTTTGGTTTTGAAAATTTTTTTCTGCAACTAAAACCTGCACTAACATCCTCCAATCATTTTAATTTTGTGACCATCATCGCGCAGGGGCTGCAGTGTAAAAATTCCATAACTAAGTTTTAAGAGTAGTTGAGTGGGGAAAGGGAAGGATGGTGGTTAAAAAACTGAAATGGGAGTTTAAGTTTCACAGTGATCAATGAATATGATTCTCAGTTATGCTCTAATATTTATTCATAATCAATGAAAATATTTTTTCATTCATGAAGGTAAAATTCTCCTCTGCATTTGCTTGCATGGGGTTTGAAAAAATTCCATGGTTTCTGACTGCAAAATGTATTATATAATTAATTTTATTGATATCATTTTATCTGAAATACCAAAGCCATGCTTTACATTTTTAGTTTAAAAAATAATCACATATACGCAACTGTATCTTACTTTTAATCATACATACTTAACTGATTGACTATGTAACACATGCATGTAATTCAAATCTCTAAAATTATTAAATATCTATAAATACACATAAACCACAAGAAATATATAAATTTCTTTTGCTTCAAATTAGTTTCCAAAACCTAAACTACAAAATTCCCAAAGAGATAATATAAAAACAACAATAAAAAAAAATGATACTTATATCCACCTATTTAATAAGTGCTGCATTAAGGCAATCGTGCCTGTTTCCCCTGTTCTTTTTGTCATTGGTGCTACTGAGAAAAATAAGGGCTAAAAGAAAAAATAAGATCATGAAAACCAGTCACCATGAGAAATGTAGTGTGTATATCATCTTTCTTCTGACTACTTGCACTACTCTGTCCTAAAAAATTAGGGGAGAATCCAAGTTTATGGGAAAACTGAGGCAATAGGGTAAAAGGTTACGCAAATGACTAGAGACCTAAAAAAGGGAAAATTAAACTATACTGAAAATCAAGGAGGTAAAATATAAAGACACATTCTTCTCACCAATGATCTACTACCTCTAAAATGCCCTTTCCAAAGCAGTATTTCAAACAGGCAATTTAAAAAGCTGCAATAAAGCTAAGTACAAAAATCAAGGAATATTAAATTCTCCTAAGAAACTACAGGTGGAATACTAAAGGAAAGTGATAAAAAGAATACTTCCATTTCAAGCAAGCTCCAAATTTTCCAATGAAGGGAGTACATTGAGTTTATAGACGTACAGATTACATAGACAAATGGTATAAGGAATAAAATTAGGTATTAAAAATCAGAACAATTAAAGAAATTAAAAACGAGGTAAGAAGTCCTACCTTGCCATTAATTGGTATCTACTCTGGACTCAAAGTCAGTTTCTTCAGGGACTTCATTTAGATCTAGCTGTACAGTAAGTTCCCTACATATGAATGAGTTCTGTTCTAAGAGCACATTCGTAAGTCCAATTTGTCTATAAGTCCTACAAAGTTAGCCTAGGTACCCAACTAACACAACTGGCTATAGAGTAGTGTACTATAATAAGTTTATAATACTTTTCACACAAATAATACATAAAACAAACAAACACAAAAAAGAAACTATTTAAATCTTACAGTATAGCCTGTATGCCAGAGATGTGAACCAACTTATATTAACTGGACATTTGAACACATATTTGCATCTTTGAAAGTTTGCAACTTGAAGGTTCGTATGTAAGGAACTTACTGTATGGCACCCATCTCAGACCACAGAACACTGGACACTGGCTCTCTCACTCTCTTCCCGTTGTTCACATACAACTCTCACAGAAGAAAATCTTTATATTCAAACTACCACGCACTTGACAATGTTTGAGTTCTAGGAGGTATACTCAGGGATTTTTATCCTTTCCCCAACTCCTTTTCTTTCCTGTGATGACTACTACAAAAGCTTAAATTTTATGAGGCCAACATTACCACAAATTTTTATTTTATTTATTTTATTTTTATTTATTTATTTATTTATTTTTGTTGAGTTGGAGTCTCACTCTGTCGCCCAGACTGGAGTGCAGTGGCCGCTCCCGGCCACCGCAGCCTCGCCTGCTGGGCTCCGGCGATCCTTCCGTCTCAGTCTTCCAAGTAGCTGGAACTACAGGCGTGTGCTACCACACCTAGCTAATTTTTGATTTATTGTAGAGATGAGGTCTTGCCAAGTTGCCCAGGCGGGTCTTGAACCCGCGAGCTCAGGCAATCCACTCATCTCAGCCTCCCAAAGGCGTGGGATTACAGGCTGAGCCACCAAGACTGGCACGAATTTTTAATATCTTCACCTTATACAGTGTTAAAAATTCCTAAGTGTTTATTATGAGGGTGGAAAGAAACAACAAAAAAACCCAGTCTAGCTCATTCCTAATGAATCTATCATTGTACTTACTTTGGGATAATCCAATTCAAAGAACGTCTCCAAGTTGTTGATTAAGTTGGGATCTACTCCTTTCAGTGGTTTCAGAAGAGAGACACCTGGGAGCTTGCTGTATGGCTGTTTGTCAGTTGCCTTCTTGTTGAGGTGTAATCGGCTAAAAAGCAAATGACACATGAAGTTATTTCTAGAGAATACATTAGTGTCAAATCAAAGTAAAGCATGTACCAACCTATTAATAGATTACTATATTCTAAGTTAAGACCTTTTAAAGCTGACCGCTTTCTAAAAGGAGATCTGAAAATGAAGGGAAGTGTAGAACCAGGTTTCCAGTTAAAAGGAAAAAAGAAAGAAAGAAAGAAAGAAGGAAGGAAAGAAAGAAACATAACTAAGCTGAATGAATGTTCTCATGAAGGCCAGAACTTTGATGCACTCTGTTTATTGCTGTACTCTCAGAACAATGCTGAGCATACAGTAGGCATTCACTAAATACAGGATGAGGAAATGAATGACAGTGTTGGCCTACCAGAGTGGCCAAAAAACTAAACAAACAGGTAAAATAAAATTTCTATCTGCATCAGAAAAATATGAAAGGATAGCCTAACAGTCAGATAACACACAATTAAAAGAAGTGCCAAGCAGCCTGCATGGGAAACAAGAAAATAAGATAAATGGAACTCCAAATGTTCATCATCTTAGACTGGCAGGAGTAGAACAGAGAGCAGTTGAAAGAAGAGAGGCCATTCAGTAGATCAAAACCACTATATCAATGCATCTTGATGTGATAAAATCCACTATTAACCTATGAATGACTTTTGTAAGTACACCAGTACGCCATCCAGATGGGTAGCCACAGGCTTATTCCCAACTAATTAAGGTAGGGTTGTGTTGCAGCAAACACCTAATATATCAGATAAGGCCATACAAACATTTTTACAGAAAAACGAAATGGTCTGCCACAATGGAAAATTTTAAAACCAACAGGAAATTTAAAGAAGAGGGAGTTATCGATTTCTGATTCCTTTCCGCTGATAGTTTGGAAAATATTGATCATCTACAGAGTTCATCTGGAGGGCTACACAGAGGCAAAACAATAAACTAAAATTTACATAACCACAAGTGTGACCACTATTCAATTTCCAACAAAACAGCAACTAGATGTCTGAAACCCACCTGGTAAAAAACAGCAGGCTTGCTGGAGTGGGGGGGTGGAAGGGTGGTAATGGTATTTTTAACACATATTTAATAGATTGAGCTAGTAATATATTGACATAGAATCACAAAAAATAGTAAGAGGATCTCATAAAAGAAGCCTCCTTGTTACCCCACCCCTCATGTGCCCCGTTCCCATAACTGCCTCCCCAGCATTAGCTGCTTCTTATTCTTCCAGAGATTTAAAAAATGCATACACACATATATATAATGTAGCATATATTAATATCAATTATTATATAATTTTCTCCCTTCCTTTTTAACATAAGTGTACTAAAAGTACGTTTTTAGATACATGTTTGAACTGTCAGGAAAATAAAAGTCTCCAAGGTCAAAAGTAAGGAGAAATCACTCAGTGAGTGAGTGCTGGAGATGATATTGCCTCTAAGGTATTTTTTGTTCCCCCAGCAACCTGGAGATGGAGACAAGCCCAAGATAAGAATGATAGAAAATCTGTTTTGAGAGCCTTGTGTAAGTCTGGAAAACCTGAAAGACTAAGTATAATAGAGAAATTGTGGCCCACAGAGGAAAGATGGAGATGCTGCCCTGAGTAAAGTAGAATACAAGAAAAAAGTCATCCTGGAAAACACCTCACTGCATGCACTTGGGTTGAGAATATAAACTACCCGTGTTGCCTGTACAAAACCCAAGAAAACGAAACCATTGTATGTGACCACAAATATATGAAAAGAACACACAATGTCTAGAAATGAAAGTTATGATCACTGACATTAGAAACACAAAGGACAGGTAAAACAGAAGACTGCATACAGTTTGAGAACTGAAAGCCAGATTAGAAGAAATTACTTAGAAGCAGCACACAGAGAGGGAGAGGCAAAGACATAGAAATCATGAAAGAGTTTGAGATGTGGACAACAGAATAAGGTCTAAAAATCCCAATGATTTTTATCCATTGGTCACAATGTGTGACTTAATGGATATTCTTTTATCATTTTGTTGGTGCTATTAAAACTGTATTAAAACATGCATGTAAAGTGCTGACCAATTAGCAGAGAAACCTTGCCCACTAATAATTTCATTGCATATGGCAAGGCTTTAGATTTAAAACAACAGCAACAATAGTCTAAACTGTACTAAATAGAGGCAGTATCTATATTTTAGTAAAAATTTAGGGTAAACCCTCTCCCTTCTTCACTGAGGCATTTCACTTTAAATGCTAACATAGATCTACCTCTTCTCCTGTGAAGAGCTTCTTCTCAAGAATGCAGTATTTTATCATAGACTCATTGACTCCCCAAACAACAGTGAAGCCCTTTCTGGGTTTATGGATGATGAGAATTAATAAGCTCTATATCTGAAATTTCTACTCAATTATAAGTCAAAGTATATCACAGTACCTTTAAAAATTATTATTTGTATCTCTGCTCTGTCTCTATCTCTCTCTAATTAATTTTCTTTCCATATCCCAAAGGGTCAGCTTGCAGTGTACCCCCTAGGATACAAGATCCTACTTTGAAGAATACTGTTTTGACTTATGTAATGAAACTGATGAAGTCCCTTGGTATAAATTACTTGAAATGTCTAACACAATGATAAAAGAATATCCATTAAGTCACCAAAAAAAACCACACTGAGCACTATGTTTAGAACTCAGTGGTGCTCCATGACTACTTCGCAGTGACTTATTAAACAACGTGTTTTGGGCCCCAAATGTACACTAGTCATTATCCTATGCACTGGAGTTATGATGATGAAAGAATTCCACACTGTCAAGAAGTTGCGGTTTAATGGGTTAGTCGCACATGTATGTACGCTCTTCTTATAAAACACTTATAGATGTCAACAAAGTTTTGCTTTGGAGTAAGGATGCATTCACTGTGTCTGCCACATGCAGAAATGATGTCTTTGGCTATGGCCAGTGCGCCATAAACCAATCTACAGCTCTATTTTTCAAAATGTGACAAGAGCCCATTTGCCAGTGTCTCAAAAGTGGCCTTGGGAGCGGAGCCCTTCAAGTGGGCCAGTATTATCAGTGGCTCTGACAGGGTCCTACAGAGTTTACTGGTTTCAAACTAGTTGTTATTTCAGTGTCTCAGATCAGGGTTTCTGCATTACTCAGACAGTACAGACTTGAGTCTATGGTCCCTACATGTTGCCAGGAGTCCTTGTGGGTGCCCATTTCTACCCTCAGCCTTCAGCAGGGTACAACACTTTCTGCCAGGATTCTGAGTACAGCACTTTCTCAGTTCCAGGCTCTATACTGGGAATCCAGTCCGAGTTTCCTGTCATGCATTTGGCTTGCGGCCTTGACCTTTTCCTTGGAGGTGTGTGGGAGGGGAGAGGAGGGTCCAAGTCACTTTTTATTGATGCATAACATACATATAGTAGAGTGACACATAAGTATGCAGCTCAAGGAATTTTCTCAAAGTCAAACTCTCATGCTTGACTTTGAGAAAATCAAGAAACAGTTTTAAAGACAAACAAACATAAACAGCATTACTAGAAGCCCCAAAATGCCCACGTCTCCTCCAACTTACTACCCTCTCCTCAAGATAATCATTATCCTGGCTTCTAACACCATAGACTAGTGTTGCCAGTTTAAAAATTGAATATGGCCAGGCTTGGCAGCTCAGCCTGAAATTCCAGCACTTTGGGAGGCTGAGGCAAGTGGATTGCCTGAGCCCGTGGGTTCAAGAACAGCCTGGGCAACTTGATGGGACCTCGTCTCTACAGTAAACCAAAAAATTAGAGTACACGCCTGTAGTTTCAGCTACTTGGAAGGCTGAAGTGGAAGGATCACCGGAGCCCAGTAGGTCGACAATGGGGTGCCCGTGAGTGTCCCCCTGCTCTCCAGCCTGGGCAACAGAGTGAAACTCCAACTCAAACAAACAAACAAACAAACAAACAAACAAAATCACATAGGATGTAACTGTTTATGTCTGATTTTTTGCTTAACATTATGTTTGTGAGATTTATTCATGTTGTTGCATTTAGTTATAGTCTACTCATTCTCATTATATTCACATACCACAGTTTAACTACTTTCTGTTGATGAAAATGAACTGTTTACAGACTGGGGTTATTACAACTAGTATACAGCCTTGTCTCTATCCTTACACAAGCATTACAAACTCTACTCTTCCCCATTCCACTTGACCCCCGGATGTCAACTTTTGGGCAAGATGAAGAAATACACACTAGATTTATTCTTCCATCTGAAACAAACAAACAAACAAAAATCAAACACAATATAGGCACCAACAGTTTTTAAGATACTGAACATTAGGCAAAGGAAAACAATGATTCCTGAGACATGAAAAGCAAATGAGATGAGTCCCACAAGTGCCCCAGCTTACTACACTGAGACAATTTCCAAGTCGCAGTACAAGGAAGGGAAGCCCGGGCAGAGTATGGCAAACTCCTCTGAATTAAAGAGATGAAGTTGAGAGTCCAGAAAAACAAAAAAAACATTCAGTACCCAACAAAGTACCAAAACATCAAATAAAACCCAAAACATCAGGCATCAAATAAAAAATTGCCAGGTAGGCTGGGTGCGGTGGCTCATGCCTATAATCCCAGCACTTTGGGAGGCTGAGACGGGATGATCACTTGAGGCTAGGAGTTCAATACCATCCAGGGCAACAGAGGGAGACTCAGTCTCTTTAAAAAATAAAAAAATTAGCCAGGTGTGGTGCTATGCACCTTAGTCCCAGCTATCCAGGAGGCTGAGGCAAGAGGACCCCTTGAGCCCAGGAGTTTGAAGCTGCAGTAAGAAACGCCGCTGGGATTAGAATTAGCAGACAAGACCAAGACCAACTCACTGCTTTGTATTGCCCCTTCATTTCTGGAATGTCATTTTCCTTTAGTTTTATCAGGCTGTGTGTGTGTGTGTGTGTGTGTGTGTGTGTGTGTGTCATTACAGCATTTCCACTTGTTAACACGTACACAGGCCACCTCTCATTCAGAAGTAACTTCAGTACAAGC